GGAGAGACCATCGCCCGGAAGATACCCTGATTTCAGATTTCTAGCTTCCCAAACTATCAGGTAACACATTACTCTTGTCACAACTCACTCAGTTCTAGTACTTTGTTTCAGCATCCATAGAAAATGAATATTCGCCGGTTGGCGGCGCACGCCTTTGATCCCAGCACTCGGGTTGCAGAGGCAGGCGGATCTCTGTGAGTTCGAGGCCAGCCTGGGCTACAGAGTGAGTTCCAGGTAAGGCGCAAAGCTACACAGAGAATACCCTGTCTTGAAAAAAACAAAACAAAATAAAAAAAAAAGAAAAAGAAAAAGAAAAAAAGAAAAAGAAAACGAATATTCTAGCTGGGCATAGTTACACACACACCTTTAATCCCATCACTTAGAAGCAGAGGCAGGTGGATTTCTGTGAATTTGAGGCCAGCCTGGTCTACATAGTGTGTTCCAGGATAGCTAGGGCTACTTAGTGAGACCATTTCTGGAAACAAACAAAAGAAGAAAATGAATATTCTAGGGTTGGTGCCAATGAGTCATCCCCTTGTATCATCTACCTTTGAGTGTGGATAGACCCCGAGACCTGCTTCCCACGGTATACCATGGTAAATGTGAAGCAATGTCACTGCTATAACATTATCATAGGCTTGTGCATTTAGCAACTGCAAGGACAGCTTCTCTTTGTTCAAGAAAATGGTCACATGGTGTCAGAAAACTTGTGCAGGCTCCTTAGACTAAATTCAATAGCTAGTAAGAAGCTGGAGTTCTCAGGGTTGGGAATTTAGCTCAGTGGTAGAGCGCTTTCGATCCTCAGCTCAAAAAAAAAAAATGAAGCTGGAGTTCTCAACTCAACTATAAGGAAGTACATTCTGCCACCCCCGCTGTGCTTAGGAGGGGATCCAGATAAGAACATGGCTTGGCTGACACTACAAGTCAGATTCACCGAGTGTTAGACTGTAGGCACCTAATATTTTCTTGGGATGTACATCAGCAGTGACTCATTATTGTGGCTGGAGGTCTGTTGTGGTCTGAATGCAAAATGCTCATAGGCTCACATTTTTTATTTTTTTTTGAGACAGGGTTTCTCTGTGTAGCCTTGGCTGTCCTGGAACTCACTCTGTAGACCAGGCTGGCCTTGAACTCAAAGAGATCTACCTGTCTCTGCTTCCCTAGTGCTGAGATTAAAGGGATGTGCCACCATCACCCAGTGGGCTCACGTGGTTTAACACTTGGTCTTGTGTTGTCCTCATCGTGTCCCATGTGGTATCATATCCCCCCCACTCCCGCCCCCGCATTGTCTGGCATTAGAAGGTAGAGCTTTGCTGGAGGATGCATGTCACCTGCAGTGTGCTCTGAGGTTCCATAGCTCAGCCCTATCTCCCCCTCTGGACTGGTGATCCATTGTGCAGAGCAGGCTTCATGTTCCTTTGGCCATACCACCCTTGACATGGAACTGTAAACCAAAATACACTTGCTCCCCTAACTTGCTTTTGTCAGGGAATTTTATCATAGCAAGAGAAACAAAATTAAGAGGATTGATGCTGGGGCTGGAGAGATGACTCAGAGGTTAAGAGCACTGGCTGCTCTTCCAAACGTCCTGAGTTCAATGCCCAGCAACCACATGGTGGCTCACAGCCATCTATAGTTGGATCTGATGCCCTCTTCTGGTGAGCAGGCATATATGCACATAGAGCACTCATATATAAAATTTAAAAAAAATCTTTACAAAAAAAAGAGGGTTGATGTTGTCTGTTGAGCTGAACCTATCAATTGGAGCATACATGGAGCTTATACATTACAGTGGCTTCTTCTTTTTTTACATGGTAGCCGATTTCCCACAGCAAGTATTCCAAGAGAAGCAGGCAAACTTTGCCGACCTTGTAAGGGTTTTGGTGCCTATCCCTGAAGCAATGTGGCATCATTTCTGTCTTCTATTAACTTCTGTGGTTACCAGCCTGTGTAGATGGAGGTGACACAGACACTGACTTTTCAAGAATGAGTAACAAAGGACTTGTGTGTAGTTTGCTAACACTGCTCGGTTGTTACTGAGGTCTGCCCTACATGTGCAGGTCTTAACTGTGAATTCAGCGGATGGTAAGCACTCTATGGACTCATGCACATACCACTTGAAGATGTTTCAAGTCACTACCAGCTCTTCTTGTTGTATGAAGAAATATGGGTGGAGGGGTCATATATTAGATATCTGTGCTCAGACTCTTTCAATGTAAGATTTTCTGATTTATCCATAATTCTGTACATGTTTTGTGGACATATTTTATTGCTGGGTTTAATTCCACTGCATAATATTCCAGTTGAATTTAAAGTTTTAGTGTGTGATTACAAATGGCCACTACAAATGGAAATGTTAGTCTTGTATACATCATCAAATGTTATCTAAGTATTTTTGAGAGTACTCTCTCTCACTAATCAAATCCACAAAATTTGAATGCCCAAAGACCTTTGACATAATTTACCCCTGTAGATGATGATTGCTTTCATGAGCCTCTTGGGATTAAGGAGGCTATGGCTTATAAGGTCTACTGCAAAGAACAGAATGGTACTTGTGCTGGATAGCTGTATGTCAACCTGGCACAAGCTAAAGTCATCTGACAGGAGGGAATCTCAATACAGAAAATGCCTCCGTTAAGATAAGGTTGTAGTAGCTGGGCAGTAGTGGTGTATACCTTTAATCCCAGCATACACTCAGGAGGCAGAGGCAGATGGATCTCTGTGAGTTCCAGGTCAGCCTGGTCTATGGAGTGAGTTCCAGGCCAGCCAGAAATACCCAGAAAAACCCTGTCTCAAAAAACAAAACAAGCAAACAAAAAAACAAACAAAAATACAAGGGAAGAAAGAAAGAAAAAAATCCAGTATGCAGCACCCCTCCATGGCCTCTGCATCAGCTCCTGCCTCCAGGCTCCTGTCCTGCTTGAATTTCTGTCCTAACTTCCTTTGATGATTAATAAACCCTTTCCTCCCCAAATTGATTTTACTCATGGTGTTTTAATGAAATTTCCTCAAGGGCCTGCCCTGAGAAGATTCCTCCCAGCGTCCTGGGGTCCTGGGGAAGACGCTACGTCCAGCGTGGGGTTATCTGAGGGAAAGGAATCTATATATGCCATATATTACCATACTTTTTCACCCATTAACTTTATTTCTCTATGACAAAATTCTATCTCTACAGCTTGAGTTCCGTCCTGACACTCAGTTCCTTTGTTCCTTCTCTTTCTGTCTCCTCATAGCCCTAGTATTACGCTATGCTTTCAATCTCATTTTTTTTTTTTTTTAAGATTTTATTCATTTATCATGTATACAGTGAGTGTTCAGCCTGCAGGCCAGAAGAGGGCACCATATCTCATTGTAGATGGCTGTGAGCCACCATGTGGTTGCTGGGAATTGAACTCAGGACCTCTGGAAGAGCAGTCAGTGCTCTTAACTTCTGAGCCATCTCCCCAGGCCCCTCAATCTCATCTTTGTCCCCTGTTCCTTTGTCCTCCATCTTTCTTTCCTTGCTCCTTACTCCTAGCTCTGAGAAAACTCTACAAAAGATCTGCCTTAACCATCTACAGAATCTCTGCCTTTTTCTCTTCTCTCTGGCCATGTGGCTCTGTCTACCATCCACAGAAACTGCCTTGTTCTTTCTGTCCTGGACACATGACTCTGCTCTGGCCAGGAATCCTGCCCCACCCTTTACTCCACCTGGATATGCAAAAAACCTCCTTTGTTCTGAGTCAATTGCTCTGGAATGCCATTTTTTCCTGTCTGGGGAGGGAAGGGAGGTCTGAACTTCATTTGTACAAGAAACAAAGATATGCATCTACAGCCCACCTGTCTCCTAGGTTCTGTAGGAGTGTTACCTAGTGGATGAGCAGTAGGTCTGAGAGCTTACCTGTCTGCCATATGGCAGGTAGTATATGGGCACACAAGAATTTCATAGCAGAAGACAGCTGATATATATTAAAAGCTAAATAACACCAAATATTCCTTGATAAATGGCTTCCTCTGGAAGGACTCCTTGGTTGGTCAAGGTGTAGCTTATTATATACAGCTGAATCTCTATAATATATTCTTGCGGCTTGCTGCAGTGTTTGATTAGCAACAGTAATCCTAAGATGGTACCTTAATGTGAAAACTTCTCTATATTATTCGTAAGTTATTTACAGAAATGCTCAGCATGAAGAATTATAGTGGCTTCAGATTAAAAAATGAAAAATTCCCCACAAACCAACCTTTCCTCTCTCAATTTTCTTCAGATCTCATCCCACGAAGGTTAAAATAGAATTACGAGGGAGTTATGTTTCTAAATTGTCAGCCTGTAGGAGGAGCACAGTATTGATGGAGGAGTTGACCGTCATTACTGACTACAAACTAGTAAAGGCTCCAGTCAGAATGACAAGTCCTTTCTTTCTAGGTGTTCCCAACCTCAACACTGTCTCCAAAAAAAGAGTGAAGGCCATGGTGTTTCTCAGGAAGTTTGGAATTCCCTTAATGGAAAGTAACATGTAAGTATAGGATTTTTAGAAAATTAAAAAAGTTATAATGAGAAGTGTAGGGCTGAAGAAAATCTCAATGTGCATACTCCAAACCTTTGCAAGCTTGTAAGGAAAACTTGTTTTATAAGGCTGGGGCCTCTGCTATGGACAGTAGCAGTCTATTAGGTTACTGAGCTGATTCATTATTTAGATCCAACAAAAATATTAATAAAACAGATTTATCCCCTGGATTCTGCCCAGTGGTCTCGAATGCAGAGTAAATTGAATATAAACAGAAGAAAAGGACCTTGAGATTGATGAAGAGCTAATTTTTTTTTTCCATTGTGAGCCTAACCTTTAAGAGCTGAGCCTTCTCTACAGCCCAGGAGTTGATTTTTTTAAAAGGCTTATGGTATATGCTACAAATCTAAAATTTGTATCTGCTATACTAAGAACAAGGTCAAGTGTGACAAGAGAGATTTATGAGTGTACCTTAGAAAATTAGATCAAAATAAAGAAATTATGAAAAATACATGATAATGATAAAACAAGACATTTATTTTTCATATTCATTTGGGGGAAAGGGAAAAAGTCAGTTTGTCCTATCAAATACTGGTCCTTCTGGAAGAATTTCCACTTACCCTATAGAATTAGATAACTTTCTTGATTACAGAGGGTGTATTCTTAATTCCTAAGAACTTCCTTTGAAGAGGGTGGTTACAGGGTAAGCCTTTGTGAGCAGCTTCGCTGGTGCACAGCCAGGCTCCCTCTCTGAGTGAAACTTTTCCCACACTGGCCACAGAGATAGGGTGTTTCTCCTGTGTGGATTTTTCCATGCAGAATACAATTCCCCCTGGTGTGGAAACTCTTCCTGCAGTGGGAACACGCATAGGGCTTCAGACCTGTGTGAACTCGGATGTGGACAATTAAGCTCCCCTTCTGACTGAAAGCTTTTCCACACTGGTCACATCTATAGGGCTTCTCACCACTGTGAACTCTTCGGTGAACAGCAAGGTTACTTTGATTCCTGAAGCTTCTCTGGCAAATGGCACATTCATAGGGTTTCTGTCCAGTGTGGAGTCTCTCATGGACAGCTAGACTGCCTCGCTGACTAAAGCTTTTCCCACACTCTTTGCACTGATAGGGCTTCTCTCCTGTGTGAATTCGCTGATGTGTAACTAGATTGCCTTTGGCCCTGAAGCTCTTTCCACACTGGGTGCACTCAAAAGGCTTCTGACCAGTGTGGATTCTCTCATGCAATGTTAGGCTACCTTTCTGCCGGAAAGACTTCCCACATTCCTGGCAATCATAGACCTTCTGTCTCACTCCAGGGGAGTCTTCCTGTAGTGTCTTAGAATCTGGGGACTTTTGTTCCAGCTTCTCTCTTCTGAAAGAACTCTGGAAATCCCAGCTTGACGATCCTGTGGCCTCTGAATGATCATATTTGTGGGCTTCTGTCATCACATCTGGTAAAACGAGAGGGAAGTCATGTAAGATGCACCAATATGCTGAGTGAGAAGAACAGGGAAAAAAGAAACATAACCCTTAGAGTGCTTATATGTGCCAGGCATTTTACTATGAACTTTGCATACATAACTCAATCTTGAAAATCATGCTGAGATTGCTACAGATAAGAAAATGAGAGCATAGGGAGGTCAAATAGCTATTAATAGGTGTATTATCTGTGGGATTCAAATATTAGCATGCTCGATAGCTATGTACTGCCTTTAACTTTAATGTAGCCTCCCAAATTCTTGGGAGATAGACATGTATTATTACTATTATTATTATTATTATTATTATTATTTTTGGAGGGGGTGCTGGGAATTGAACCTGGGTCCTCTGGAAGAGTAGCCAGTACTCTTAACCACTGAGTCATCTTTCCAGCCCTAAGAGACTTTATAAGCAATAAAAACAGGCTCATAAAATAAGAAAATTAGCCGGGCGTTGGTGGCGCACGCCTTTAATCCCAGCACTCGGGAGGCAGAGGCAGGCGGATCTCTGTGAGTTCGAGGCCAGCCTGGGCTACCAAGTGAGCTCCAGGAAAGGCGCAAAGCTACACAGAGAAACCCTGTCTCGAAAAACCAAAAAAAAAAAAAAAAAAAAAAAAAAAAAAAAAAAAAAAAAAAAAAAAACCTTCACACAAAGCCCCCCCCCCCCCCCCCGCTTCCAAGTTTTAGCTGACTCCCAAACAGGTGTAGAGTCAGGATCCAAAGGGACTAAAACTTGAAAACCGTAAAAGCATCCCTTTAAACACAAGCATCAAGTCAAGCACAGGACAGACCAGTTTTGGTAAGAAGCCGAGGCTTACACTGCACTGTCTGCATGGAAGTCACCCTATTCCAGTCCATGCTCCTGACAGTATTTATGATCTCAGAAAACAAGTAGCAAAATTTCAGATATTTTATGCCTATGCCATGAATTCTTACAGGATGCAGCCTGTTGTCTATTCCATGATACAGAGGAAAAGCCTGAAGCTTAAGGAGGGACATAACTTCTTTAACAATAAAACCATGATTGGAATTTCTTCTTTTAAAATTCATGCTGTTTTTCAGTCTACTAAGCTACAGTACAGTTGAACGAGTCTATTCATTTTCTAGGGGTCATCCTAGAGAAGTTTCTTCCTCGATTCCCTAACTTTTTCATACTCAGTGATAGAGTTGAGAGCTAGAGAGACTCATTCGGCCTGAGACGTCTCAGGACTCTCTACAGGAGACAACCTCCATGTCAGACTGTTTCCTTGCTTTGTCCCATCATTTCCAATGCCAGCTTGCAGGCTTTTCCTGTCCAAATGAATGCATCTTCTGCTTCTCAGTATTGAGAACAGGGACTCTGAAGGTATCCCAGCAACCAGCTGACTCACTCACTGAAAAATGCTACATTCTGGGCATATCTTCCATGACAGTCCAGCAGGGTAGCTGTTGGAAACCCAAACATGTCCACTCCTGCTCTGTGACTTTAATCACCACTTCCTCATATGATTCTTCCATGGGCTGGTCTTGAGTACCTGAGGAACAGAAAATAAAATAAAGCAAACCAAACCAAAGAGCAAACAAGAAAGGGCAGAACTGATTACTGAGAAAGTCCACAGGAGGCCCAGTTTGGGGCGTAAGCACAGGAAATCAGGGCTGCCTGATGTAGTATCACTGCAAAGCGGGCTAAAGAGAGCAGGACTGACGGCACAAAAGTTAATCCAGGAGCAAAGAGGCAGTGGAAAGCACGGACTTCATCCTGTTAGTCCCCAACTAAGGGTCACTTCTGTTGTACTTTGGTCTTGACATGACATTGGGGTCCTCCACTTCCCAGGCAACTGTTGCTGATTTTACTCCTCAAGCCTAAGAAGTCAACATTTCAGCCTTCCTGACTGGTATGAGGGAAGAGCTCCAGTTCTCCTTTCCAGTTCCCTTGAAGCTACAAGGACCTAACAAAAGATTTCTTGTTACCTTCTGGCAATTCTTAGCAGGCCCTAGATCCAAACCATCACTTTCTCCCTTTGGAATGTTTATTTAAGGATCAAATTCCTGGATTTGTACACTTTATATTTATGTAGCGGTACACAGTATAATCTTTGTTTCAGTACGTCCAATCAAAATGCTGGACTTAAAGAATTAGCAATCTGATGCTATAATTCTCTGTTCTATTAACCAAGTAGCTGACCCTTCTACCCGTTCAGTCATATTACTGTGATGACAAGAGGATTGATTCACTTCCAGCTTGGAACACAAAGTACAAAGGGCTCCCCTGAAACGGTGCCAAGGCATTCATTTAGAAATACAAGATACTATTGATTAAAAATAAAACCAACAAACCCCCCTGCACATTCACAAAGAAAAGCACTTGGTGCCACCTCCTTGGGGTTGGACTTTTGTCACTGGAATGTCTAGAAAACATGGTTAAGTCAAAATAAGTGAACAGAACGTATACTTCAACCTCTCCACCTGCTAAGAGGTACCCAACAAATATCCCCTCAAATGTGTCTCCAGACTCTCCATGATTAATAACAGGAAACTGCCAACAGGAAATTGTTAAGGGAGAACTGTTATCTCAAGTCAGAGCAATCAAATTCTCAAAGACACTTGGAAGAACGTGGTTTCATCACACAAAACACTGCTCTTTTCCTATTAGAAATGCTATCACAGCTCAGAATTAGGCTCTTGCCTTGGTTCGCTAGGTGTATGATCTGGAGGAAAGCAACTTAAGAGCCCCGACTCTAGTTTTCCTCACTTACTAAGCAAGTTAACACCATCTCATTAGCTTTTGGAAGAACTGATGACCAGAAAGTGAGCGATCTCTTACATTTGAGACACACCCTACACATTCAAGGCCTAAAATGGTGCATTCTCAGGAGAGAGGGGCTGGAGGACAGACAGGATGATCTGTGGGGTCTGAGGAAATCTTAACGATGCAATTTAAGGAGCGAGCAGGAGCTTGTGGGTGAGGGTGAGTTCCCCCTACACTGGACGCCACTCCCTTCTCATCGCCATAGGCACGGACTCTGCACCCTCCGGGCCTAGCTGGACCTTCCTGTGGCCCCTCCCACGCTCCGGGGGCCCCAGCCTCCCAGGGGCCCCGACATCGCAGTGGGGGCCCCCCCGCAGCAGACGGCGGCCCACCCGCTCTCCGACCAGCGCACCCTTGTCAGCGGCTGGGCGACTGCGGCCCGGCCAGCTGGCCTGGCCTGCTCACGCGCCCTGGCCGGGGCGGCGGGCTCACGACACAGCCCCCTCTCCCGGGCGCACAGACCAGGCCTGGGCTTCACTCACCGCAGCAGCGCGCACCCGCAGACAGACAAAGCCGGCGCCGAGCCCGTAGCAGCCGCAGCAGCGACGAGCGGCGCCGGACCACAACTCCCAGGAGCCCCCGCGCGCGCCCCGGCGCACTGTGGGAAGCGCCGCCGCGGTGCTGCGGAAACGCGGAAGACTGGTCCGGCGCTGGTGGGTTCTGGTGGAGTGGGGCGCCGTCCAGTGGAGGAGCGGTAGTTGATGTCGGGGGGTGCTGAAGACGTTGAACCACGCAAGCAGGACTCAAGGTTCACTGTAGGGCTCAGAAGCCGGAAGCAAGTATTTCCGACAAAGAATCAGGAGCACCAGCTGGTCCGTCTATAATAAGATGGGTTACCTGAAAGATGGACGAAGCACCGCCAGGCTTCGGAACTTAGGCGCCACTTCGACTAGTTGCGTGACCCAGGGCGGGAATCTCACCCTGTGGGGAGTCCAGAGCAGAGAGCAGCAGGACCCCGCATGGCACCTACCCCGGGGCCGGGAGACCTTCGGAACCAAGGGAAAGCGAGGAAACAGTATTCCCTGAGGAGGTGGCATTAACATTTTCTTCTTAACTGAAGAAGTGTGACCGAAGGGTTGAGATTGGTCCACTGTGAAGTCACCAAGCAGACAGGAGAGTAGCTAGCTCTCTTTCCCGAGTTGCCTCTGGAGAGAAGCAGCAGCTCCCGCAGCGAATCTTTGGCCCTGGGAGGGGCGTGGATGCTCTTGAACATCCAGGAAAAAAAAGCTCTCTAAAATGCCTTAAATTTGCACCGACTGCTGCACTTATTTATATGCGTTTCTAATGGCTTTTCTAAAGGACTTTGTCTCCCCCTGGAGCCGTGACAGAATCTTTCCTGGTGGTCCCACTCCTGAGTTCCCCCTCAGTAGACTTATTTATCCTATTTAATGAAGGACACCAAAGAAAGGTTTCCTCAGCCGGGCGGTGGTGGCGCACGCCTTTAATCCCAGCACTCGGGAGGCAGAGGCAGGCGGATCTCTGTGAGTTCGAGGCCAGCCTGGTCTACAGAGCGAGATCCAGGACAGGCACCAAAACTACACAGAGAAACTCTGTCTTGAAAAAAAAAAGTTTTCTCTTGCAGTACCCTTGTTCTTTACCCAAAACTACATGTGTTAGACTGGACAAAACACTTAACTTCACAGGATGTCTCTTTTTTGTGGGACCAGCTGTGAGTTTAGGACAAGTTCCAGATCCCACCAAGAAAATAGTTGACAAAACTTTGGTAGGAAGAGATGATTGTGAAGGGAGACTATAAGCATGTTTCCTTTATAAATCTGCAAAGATTCCTTTTGGGGGAAATGGGTACATTTATTTTTTGGACGATTTGGTCACATTTTGTTTAGTGTGGGGTGCCTTGCTGTGTGCCTGTGGAGGTCAGAACAGTTTGTGTGAATGGATTCTCTCCTTCCACCAGGCCCTGGGGATCGAACTCAGGTCATCAGGTTTGGCAGCAAGCATTATTACCCACCTTACTGGCTCAGACCCATTTGACAGAGTGGTTTGGATTGGGGTTGAAAGAGTCAGACTAAGACTCAGCTCCCTAGACAGATCTTAAGTGGGGCCTAGTCCTCAGTCACCACATGCATCTTAAGGCTGGTTCATCAGGAAGGAGGATGCTGAGGGCTAGAGGGAAATTCTTTCGGTGTATATTTAAATACTTGTTTGTTTGTTTTTTGAGGGTTTCTCTGTGTAGCTTTGGCACCTTTCCTGGAACTCACTCTGTATGTAACCCAGGCTGGCCTCGAACTCAGAGTTCTGCCTGCCTCTGCTTCCCGAGTGCTGAGATTAAAGGCATGCGCCACCATCACCCGGCAATTTAAATACTTGTTAAAGACATCCATCCCCACTCCGGCATTTTAGAATACCAGGGGAAGGAATAATAATTCAGAAAATGATGTTATGACAGTCTCACTATTTTGCAGTACCAAGCTGTTTTTATTATTATAGCTCTATAGTAAGTAGAGCTTGAGGTCAGGGATGGTGATGACTCCAGAGGTTGCTTTATTATACAGGATTCTTTTTAGCTATCCTGGGTTTTTTGTTTTTCCATATGAGGTTGATTATTGTTCTTTCCAAGTCTGTGAAGAATTGTGTTGGGATTTTTTTTTGTGTGTGTGTGTTGGGATTTTGATGGGGATTGCATTGAATCTGTAGATTGCTTTTGGTAAGATTGCCATTTTTACTATGTTAATCCTACCTATCCATGAGCATGGGAGATCTGTGGTGGTAATCTAATTGTA